CTTGGAGACCTGCCTCAGGAAATAAATTGATGAGCAACTGAGAAAGAAATCCATCAGTCTCTGTACTCTACATACACCACCACCTAACACATGCACGCACATCACAGACACATATATACACAAAATACAAATAATTAAGTTAAAAAATATATAAAACCAAAAGTCCCAAGGGAGTTCACTGAGGATAAGGCATCACTCCCACTTCCCTCCACCTGCCCAGTCCAACACCAATGGGGAAAGGAGGCTCCCCTCCCCCCAGAAAAAGGGGGTGGGTTGTATATGGGGGAAAAGCTAAAGTTTATACATTAATTGAAGGATGAGGTTTCAAACCTGGTAAGTAGGATCTGGAATCATCTAGTTTGAAGCCACCCAGCTCCAAATGGTCCTGAAAATATTCCCACCGTGAGTGTGGAAGCCATTCGTAGACTGGGGACAGGTGGCTGGCGCCTCAGCGCAAGTACAACCTGAGAAAGCAAAAGCAGGTGTCTCAAGCCAGAAAAGGGGCCCGAGGGGCAGAACGGTGAGTAGAGGCCAGGGATGGTGTGGGTTCTAGGGACTCCAGTGTCTAACAGTCCCTCTGATCTGGCATAGTGTCTAGAGAAGTTGGGTCGGGGCAGAAGGGTTCAGACACCGTAGCAATTCTTCATACAGCGCATGCTGTGTGCATGAGCCCTTAACATGTGATTTCCAAGTTCAAGACTAAGTTCAGAGTAGAGACAGAGAACTACCTGTATCCCTAGCTGAACTCGGCACAGAGCGAATGTTTGTGGTTGAAACTCCCCTGCTCCCTCCCACAACCACCCCTCTTCCTCCCCTTCAAAGGCTGTCATTACCTCATTTCTAAGGACAAGTAAACCTAGAATCAAAGTCCGTCAAGGCCAAGCTCGGAATTCTGAGCAGGGGTAATGGGGTCGAACACTCCCACAATCGGGCCTGGGATGAAGCTGGCTGGAATCCCAGCCCTGCTCCACTACACTGGTCATCTCCTTCATGTACAAACTCCTCATAGATTTAAACACTGTGTCCCAAAGATGATCATGACTTCTCTGGCAGGCCTTAGTTTTCATATCTGTAAAATGGGACTGGCTAGGTCTAGAGAGTTAAAGCAGTGAACTCAAAGGCAGAGCCAAAGCAGATGAAAGCCCCCAGACGGGAGCTTTGTGAAGCTGGGACCCAACCGAGATTTATTCACTCACGGGCACCGTGCCTGGCACACGGGGAGGCGCCCAAAAAATGTTTGCTTGAGCAAGGACCAGCCCTCAATAAATAACAGCTGTTGTTGACTGGCTAATGGAGGCAAGGCTTTGGGCTCTCCCCTTGTCCCATCCCCCTCTCTACCATCCAACTCAATTTAACCCCTTTCTCCAAGCTCCCATCTCCTCCACCTCTTTCTATTTAAACTTTCCTCCCCCAACCATCTCCCGCCTAACCCCTCCTTCCGTCCTCCGCCCATCCCCCTACTGTGTGCGTCCACTCCTCCCCCACTCTCCACTTCAGTCCCCTCACCCCCCAACCCCGCCTTCTTCTATCCCCGCCTCCAGCCTCCTCCCCGAACCTTCTCCAACCCCCACCCCAAGTTCCTCTCGAGCATCTCCACCCACACGGGTGCCCTTCGCGAGGCGGGGTAATCCGGGCTCCGGGGTCCTTGGCTTGGGTCCAGCCTGAGGCCCTGGGCGGCGGCGGCGGCGGCAGCGGCGGCGGCGGGCGGGGTTTGGGGGTTTTTTATAACCCTGGCAGGCTGCTCAGGAAGTGAGTGCCTTCCCGCGCCCCCTCCCCCGGCCACGCCACCGCGCGCTCGCTCCCTCCCTTCCTGTGCGCCTGGCGCTGAGTCTGTGTGGCTACGGCGGACCGGAGGCTCCAGGCACGCAGGTACCGGCGATCTGGGGACCCAGCTGGGCTGCGCAGTCACCGGAGTGCAGTGATTATAAGTGACTTTGTGTGTCTCAGGAACAAGATATGCTGGATGGATGCCGTTGTGCGTGTGTTCTGTTGGTGCGGAATGCCCCTAAGTGTGCAGATACAGACTGCCTGCCTGTTTGGGTTGGCTCAGGTTTGGGGGGGGGGGGTGTCGAGGTCAACCACGTATCCAAGTGTGTCCTTGTGCGGATTGTGTGTCCTTGTGGCTTTCAGCATCTGGGAGCGACTGTGTGGGCAGACTGTTGAGGTGTGTTGAGTGTTTGCCTAAGTGAGGGTAAACTGTCATTTGCACTCAGAAAAGTGCCTGTCGTGCATATAAATGCCAAGTGTGTCTGGCTCTGAATATTTGTATTTCTCTGGAGTGTTATTAGTGGAAATGCCGGTGTGTATTTGTGTCTGAGTTTGTAGGATTTGTTAGTCTCCCCTGCTATGAATGTGTAAACGTGTGCTTCTGTGTGTGCGTGTGCGTGTGCGTGTGCGTGTGCGTGTGTGTGTGTGTGTGTGTGTGTGTGTGTCTGTATTGACTCTCTGTGTTAAATGAGCATGTATAGTCTCCTAGGTTTGTGGGTTGTCTTGGACTGTGTGACTGTGTTCACACAGGCCTCTAGTGTACGTGTTTGTCTGGGTTTGTCTGGGTGTCCATGTGGAAATATGTGTTTCTGTATACATAGGTCTGGGGGTATGTAGTTGTGTGTGTTTGGGTAGTGAACCAGGCCTTCCTGCTGTTCAAGTGTGGTTGCCCTATAGTGTGACTGTATGTTTGTGTGTCTGCCTGTGAGAGTGGAGCTGGGGCTGCCACTTCCCCTCAGTTGGTCATCAATGCCACTGTACTCTGAGGCAAGGTGTCTCTCTACTAGGGGGAGACACACGTTAATTAACAGCTGGTTGGTGATAATGGGGGTGGTGAGCAGTGCAGCACCTCCCCCTTAGGCCTCCTCTTGGCCTTTTGTCTGTGTGCTCACAGCAGCCAGGCCAGATGTGCATGCCTGGAGGAAGCCTGCTGCCTCCAGCTAACGGCTGCCTTTGCCTGGCCAAAGAAGCTCTGTCCTCCACCGGAGAAGCCTCTGCCTCTTTAGCAGGGTTCCCCGACAGCCTGGCCTACAGAGGTCTAGGTGTGTAGTGCTGGTCCCTGTAGGATCCCAGGGATGGGACGGAGCGTAGTTTCCGGGAGGCACCCCCTTTCCCCAGGCTAGTGGCCTCCCTGCAGACTGCCAGAGGAGGGGCTTGAGGGAAAGGGCCAAGCCGACATACACACATACACACAGATACATATACATATACACACCCATAGTGTAGATCTCTCTCTGCGGTCTTTGCTGGGCCAGATGTGAGACCCCTCTCAATTGTAAGTCATCCTCAGATAGGCCTTGTCTGCCCCATCTTGGTATCTGAGAGCCGTGTCACTCCTACCAGTAGCTGTTACCCTCTGGGCAGGTGAGAGAAAGGTCAGCTCCTGGGAGGCTGGGTCCCCTGACATTGCTACCTTGGGTGAAAATGGGGTGTTTAAAGCTGGAGAGGACCATTATCAGCCTTTTTACATTTTGAACATATTTAAAATATATACTTGCTTATAAATGTGTACATGTATGTGATGGCATGAGTTTATGAGTACCATGTTTATGCAGTGCCCATGGAGGCCAGAAGAGGGCATCAGATCCCCTGGACCCAGAGTTATAAGCGGTCATAATCTGCCTAATGTGTGTGCAGGGCGGGAGCGAACCTGCGTCCTCTGTAGGAGCACGCCATTCTTAACTACCGAGCCATCTCTCCAACCTTCTGAGTCCATTTCAGATTTAGCTGAGGTCTCCACAGAAGGAGTGGTGGGAAAGAGGCAAGAAGAAAAAGAAAGACCTTTACTCCTTCTACTTGAGGGAGTAGAAGATGTTAACTTTAAGAACTGAGAAAAGATGAAAGTCAAGAGGATTTTTACCAGGCCCAAGGAAGGGGTCAGAAGACTCAGCAAACTCTGAACTGCAGAAACTCATCTCAAGGAGGCTGGGAATATATCTCAGTTAGTAGAGTGCTAAGGCCTGGGTTCGATCCCCAGGATTGCATGAACTGGGTATGGTGGCACACACTGTCCCTTCTCAGCACATGGAGGGTGGAAGCAAGCAGATCACAAATTCAAGTTCTTAGCTAAATAAAAAGTTTGAGGTGAATCAAAAGTATATAAGATACTGTCTCAAAAAGACAAAACAAACAAACAGAAAAAAAAAAACTCAGTTTAGGGCTGAAAATCAAGCTGCCTCTTTTCCTTTGTACCCCTTCTGGCTTTGTCCCCTGCCCAGTGCCAACTGACAGAAGAATCCATAGATGTTCAACATTATACTAATTAGTGAGGCCTCTAGAAGTGAGGGGCTGAGAGGAAGAAGATAGGAACCCACCACCCAACCCAGAGTATACAATCGAGATGAACAAAACTGTGCAACTCCAAAATATCTGTAAGAGAGATGCCTGTTACTGGAGGGATCCATGCAGAAGTAGGGAATGTGACTTTGTCTGCTAGCATCTTGGAGAAATTCCGGCTTCTCTGTCTTCTGCCAAACTGCCCTGTTTGGGGATTGACTCTCAGACTTGGCTGGAATGCAATGAAAACAAGACTGTGTGATTAAGGGGGGCTTGGATCTGTACAGAAGAGGAGGTGGAGGGTGGAGAACAGAGGGCAGGGAAGGGGCTTGGCAGAGTGGTGAGCCCAAAGTAGTGTCTCCAGCAGACTAGTCTGGGGCAGATGCCTGAGAAACAGGCCTGCCTGTAGGATTAACTCACATTAGGAAGGAGAAAGGATCTGAGAGCAAAAGCAGAATAAAGATGGCTCGTGGATGAAGGAGCTTGCTGCCAAGCCTGATGGCCTGAGATAGATCCTCTGGCTCCACGTGGTGGAAGGAGAGAGACAACTCTCAAAAGTTGTCCTCTGATCTACACACACACAAAATAGAGGAATGCAAATGTTTTCTTTTGTTTTTGTTTTTCTATATAGCCCTGGCTGTTCTGGAACTCACTCTGTAGACCAGGCTGGCCTCGAACTCAGTAATCCGCCTGCCTCTGCCTCCCAAGTGCTGGGATCAAAGGCGTGTGCCACCACTGCCTGGTGCAATTTTTTTTTTTTTTAATTAAAGAGCAAGGCTAGGAATGTAAGGTGAAGGTAAATTCGTATCCTCTGATTTCCATAGGCACAGGGTGGAAATCAGAGAATATGTGATCACAGTGTAGGAAGGTGACAATGTACCTGTAAGCCAGGATGGTGGTACAGATATTTGATCTCAGCACTAGGGAGGCAGAGACAGGTGTATCTCTGAGCTCAAGGCTAGCCTGGGCTACAAAATGAGTACCAGGACAGCCAGAGCAGTACAGAGAAACCTCTTCTGGAAAAATCAGAGGGGTGGAAGGTGAGGGGGAAATTCCTGTAGCCAGGGATCCAAATTCAGATCCTAAGATGACGGGGATATGAGGACAGCCTGGAAGACCTTAGCCTTGACTTTAATTATGGGCTGGAAATTCTCCTTAACCATTGCCCTGGCTTTAAAGTGACCAGAGTTTTTTAATTTGGTTTTAGGGGTTGGTTGGTTTGCTTGCTTTGTTTTCTAAGTTACACTTCTTGTTTAGTGCTGGATCTTGCAGAATCTTCAAGGTTTCTCTAATGTTTTGTTACTGCTGTGTGTGGATGAGGGTGCGCTGGTGCTACTCTGTGCCTATAGAAATCAGAGGATATGAATTAACGTGTGGTCAGAGTACAACTTTCGGGAGTTAGTTCTTTTCCCCTTCAAGATCTGGGGAGTAAGCTCAGGCTAGTCAGGCAAGCTTCCAGGGTAAATGCCCTCACCTGCTAAGCCAGCTCACTGCCCCCCAGCCCCGCTCCCCACCTTTGATTTTGCAGTTCCCTAGCCTGGTGCACCCTCTGTTCCCTCATGATCTGTAATTTTTGTCCTTCAAACAGCTGGTTTCTCTAGAGAACACGTCATAATCTGGGATACCCTCTTTTCTCTACATTGACATGTCTGTCACTCCCAGAAATAAAACTTGGGGAGGATAGAAGACAGCACGTGCTGTCATGTGGGGAGCGGTGAGATCAACTACTCTCAATCCACCCCAGCCCAGGACCGTCATCAACCCTTGAGTGAATCTGATTTCTACCACAGTTTGCTGCATGACCCTGGTCCATTTTCATCACCTCTCATCTATACAAACGGTGATCTAGAATGATTGATTCTAGTCCCCTCTTAGGCGGAGACTTATTCTGAACATGAAATACACTAATGTTTGTCTTGGTATTTTCCTGTTCATATGACAAAATTCCCTGGCAAAAGTAATTTAGGGGATAAAGGGCTTATTTTAGCTCATAGTCCAGGGTACAGTCCATTATATTAGAGAAATCAGGTAGGCAGGAGAACCTTGAAGCATCTGGACATTTCCACTGTGAGAAATAGACCCAACCCCTAGCTCCCTCCCTCTGTCTTTTTTTTTAATGTATTGGTAAAAAATGTATTGGTTTTGTGTGTGTGCGTGTGTGCTCATGCCCACTCATTGTGTTCCACAGCACAGATGTGGAAGCAGGGGACAGCTTGCAGTCCTTCCTGATCACTGTGTGGGTTTAGGGAGTTGAACTCAGATTGTCAGGCTGGATAGCAAGCATCTCCTCACTAACCCATCTTGCTGGCACTAGCTCCTTTTCTCGTGCAGTCCAGGTTCCTTTGCTTGGGGATTACTCCCACCCACTAACAGAACCCAATCAGTATTTTCTCTGACAGGCATTTTCAGAGGCCTACCTCCCAGGTGATTCTGGATCATTTACTTGAGAAGGTGGCTTCTTGTCCTTGTTCCTGTCCCTTCTGAGTGTGGACATGATAAGGGAGGATGTGGGAGATGAGAACAAATACTAAAATTGTTCTGAAATCTTCTGATAGAAGTACCTTGGCGTGGAGAGCTTGCAGGGCACCGCTTTCGGTCTGGTAAGGGTCCTTGGCACTGGCTATAGTGGGCAGTGGGATCAAGGCCCCTCCTGACTCAGTCTCTCTTCCCAGGGGACCAGTGATGCTGCCCAGACTGTGAACAGGGGAGGCAGCACTGTAGGGGCTGCCAGCAGCCGGGGCTGGGGAGAGACATGTGGACACGTAGCCCCTATGGCTTCTGCCTGCCAGATCCTCCGCTGGGCCCTTGCCCTGGGGCTGGGCCTCACATTCAAGGTCACACATGCCTTCAGATCTCAAGGTAGGAAATGACTCAATGGAGTCAATTAAAAAGGAACAAGAAACTAAGGAAACCAGTTGGTCCTTGAGAAAGAGAGAAGTCAGGGGGCTAGGGTTGGGGGAATTCATGGGTAGGAATGTATAGGCTGAATAGTCACTAGGTGACCTGGGTTCAAGGATGGATAAGGAATTACTGACTTTGGCAGCAGGGACCCACCTCAGTCTTCTTATCCCTTTTCCTATAGATGAGCTTCTGTCCAGTTTGGAGAGCTATGAGATTGCCTTCCCAACTCGAGTGGACCACAACGGGGCAATGCTGGCCTTCTCTCCACCTGCCCTCCGGAGGCAGCGTCGGGGTGCAGGGGCTACAGCTGAGTCCCGTCTATTCTACAAGGTGGCCGCACCCAGCACTCACTTCCTGCTGAACCTGACCCGCAGCCCCCATCTCCTGGCAGGGCACGTCTCAGTGGAATACTGGACACGGGAAGGCCTGGCCTGGCAGAGGGCTGCCCGGGCCCACTGCCTCTACGCTGGCCACCTGCAAGGCCAGGCTGGTAGCTCCCATGTGGCCATCAGCACCTGTGGGGGCCTGGTGAGCTGAGGATTCTGGGAAGCAGGGGATATGCCCAGTTCTTTCTGGAAGTTAAGAAAAACACATGATCAGCACAATGTATCCATCATAGTAGGGTGTTTTAAAAGTGTTTTGAACTGATCAATCCTTTGAGAAGAAGCAGAAGATGTACTTAAAGGAAAATGTATAGACTTATATAAGGCTGAAAGTAAAGGGACATGTGTCTCAAGAAGGTAGATAAAAAGCATAGCATGGTAAAGTCACTAGCAGTAGGGCCGGTGGGATGGCTCAGTGCATAAAGGCACTTGCTGTCCAGCCTGAACACTTGACTTTGATCCCCAGGACCCATGTTATGGAGGGGAGGGAGGAATTTCCTCAAGGTGTCATCTCAGCTCTACACATGTGTGCTGGCATGTGCACACCACACAATCCACACACAACTAAGTGTCACAAAAAGACCCATTTAAGGAGTTAAAAGAGTTTAAGAGTAGTTGAAGGGAGGAAAAAGGAGAGAGAATGAAATTGAACTTAAAATGTTTTAAATGTTTTCTTTTTCTTTTAAGACTGGGACTGGGGAGGTGGCTCAGTTAATAGAGTTTATACACAAGGAATTGACTTCAGATCCCAGCCTGTGCACACCTGTAACTGAAGGGCTGGGGGATAGGGAGAGACAGGAAGATTCTGGAGATCTTGATAGCCAGCCAGTCTAACCAGAAAGGAGCAAGCCCCAGGTTCAGTGAGAAGTCCAGTCTGGAGGAGATAAAGCAGAGAGTTACAGGGGACCTCCTGTGTCCTCCTCTTGCCTGTGTATAAGTGTGCAGGCTTGTACACCTCTACACAAAGGCACACACACACACACAACAGAATATAAACCAGATGTGGGGCAATCCCAAGCCCTTGTGAGCTGGAGGCAGAAGTTCTGAGTCATCCTGAACTATGCAGCGAGTATTTGCCTTGCATGCAGAAGGCCTTAGCTTTGATTCCTAGTACTGAAAAGGGGAAAAGAAGAAAATCATAGAGATAGAGTCCAGGACACCGGAGCCTAACTGAGATTTTTTGTCCCCCATCCAGCATGGTCTGATTGTGGCAGATGACGAAGAGTATCTGATTGAGCCCCTGCAAGGTGGACCCAAAGGTCGCCGTGGCCCAGAAGAGAGTGGCCCTCATGTAGTATACAAGCGTTCCTCTCTGCGTCACCCCCATCTGGACACAGCGTGTGGAGTGAGAGGTACTCCTGTGCGTTTGGGGATGGGCAAGGAGGTTATATGACTTTATTCCTTAGAGGCGGAGATAGGCAGCCGAGTCTCTCCACCCCAAAGGTCAACTGGACACTGTATCATGAAAAAGAAACTGTTTTGAGAGGATTGAATTCAAGAGCTCCATTCACCTGCAGGCAAGGGCCGTAAAGGATACAGATACTAAGAGGATGGCGCTGTAAGGCAGTGGAGCGAGCCATCTCTGCTGTGGTCAGCCATCTGGCAGCTGGATGGTATTCAGGGGGGAAGCCATTCTTTACCTAGAGTTATTGCCAGATCACACAATTAGCCTGCAGGGTGGTCACAGCAGACACTTGAGTAGTTAAGCCTCTGAGATGCCAACAAGGACTAAGAGTGAGTTCAGTGGTAGAGTGTTAACCCAAGTTGCAGAAGGCCCTGTAAAACATGCACCCACAAAGAAAGGCTGGTGCAGTTAGGACCCACTTTCTCCTGCTTGGTTGCCTTGCCCAGCCTTGATATGAGGGTTTTATGCCCAGTCTTATTGTGTCTTGTTGGACCATGTCCAGTGGATGTCCTTGGGTGGAAGGAATGGAGGGTGGGTAACTGTGGTCAACATGTAATGTATGAGAGAAGAATAAAGATTTTTTTTGTTGTTTTTTAAAAAAAAGTCAGGCTGAGGAGAAGGCTTAGTGAGTAAAGTCCTCACCATGCAAGTATGAGAACCAACCAGAATTCATACCTTCATATCCCTAGCATCCAGGCAAATACGTCAAGCCACCTAAAATCCCAGGGCTTCGGAGACAGAGACAAGTGATCCCTGGAACAAGCTAGATAGCTGGATTAGATGAATCACTTAGCTCCGAGTTCAAGTGAGACCCTGTCTCTATATATAAAATTGAAAACAACATAAGGAAGACACCCAATGTCAACCTCTGGCCTACACACACACAGGCAGTCAGCTGAAGAGCTCGGACACTATTCATACAATCATGTTCACAACACAACCAGTCACTGTAAACCATTTAGGGAGTGAAAGAATAGGAAAGCCTATAAAGTGGCTATGGCAACACAAACCTAGCATCAACGTACTTGGAAAGATCAAGAATTCAAGAATAAATGCCATCTACCAAGGCTAGTGGGCAGAAGAGTCAGGAGACAGACAATGTATGCCAGTTGTCAGGCAATTCTGGGACCCACCAGCAATAGGTGCTCGGTGCCTCTACTTTGTTTCCCAGATGAGAAACCCTGGAAGGGTCGTCCATGGTGGTTACGCACCTTGAAGCCACCGCCTGCTAGGCCCCTGGGGAACGAATCTGAGCGAGGCCAGCTGGGCCTGAAGCGATCAGTCAGCAGAGAGCGCTATGTGGAGACCCTGGTGGTAGCCGACAAGATGATGGTGGCCTACCATGGACGGAGAGATGTGGAGCAGTATGTGTTGGCCATCATGAACATTGTAAGTGCCTCCCCCTTCCTACGCCTGGAGTCCTGAGGACCTGTAGGTAGCCTCTAGGATGTCAAAGGAGAGGTTGCCACACCCTCACTCTGATCTGCAACCAGGAGCCAAAACAATAAACTGGGAAAAAGGAAGAATAAAAAAAGAGGCCTGCTAAAGCCATGAGTGATAGGCAGAAGCTTTGTACCAAAGGCCTGGGGACAGACAGATGCTCTAATGGAGGTGGCTTGTCTGGGCTTAAATTGCAGCTCTGTCCCCTTAAGTCAACCTTCCTAATACTGTGACCCTTTAATCCAGTTCCTTACATAGTAGTGACCCCAACCATAAAATTATTCCATTGCTACTTCATAACTGTAATTTTGCTAGTTATGAATCATAAGGTGAATATCTGATATGCAAGATATCAGATGTGACCCACAGAGGGGTTGCAACCCACAGGTGAGAACCGAGGCCTTAAGTACTCTGCCCTCGAGCAAGGTCTCCACTCTCCACCCGAGTTAACACCTGTGAAGACTAAAGTAGATCCAATGAACAGATACTGCATGCATGCCTGACACATACAAAGCTCTGGAATCCCCAAGCTCCTAGCATCTCAGCACTCTGGAGGCTGAGGAAGAATTGCAAATCCAAGATGAGCCTGAGCTATGGGAAAGCCAAAGTAGCAGGGGATGGCAGGGATCCTTCGAGGTGGTGGTGGTGGTACGGTGAGCGATCAGTGGAAAAGAGCACTTACTACAGAGGACCCAAAGTTAGTGCACGGCACACACACATGGCAGCTCACAACCACAATCCCAGTTCTAGGAATCCCAGCCATCTTCTGGCCAGCGCTGCTCACTTGTGCTACCGTGTACATACTCACATACATACACAGAATTTAAAAATAAATTTTTTTATTTGATTGTTTTTCAAGACAGCTTCTCTGTGTAACCTTGGCTATCCTGCAACTCTATGTAGGCCAGGCTAGCCTCAAACTCACAGAGATCTGCCTGCCTCTACCTCCCAAGTACTGGGATTAAAGGTATATGCCACCACACTCAGCCAGTAAATCTTAAAACAAAACAAACAGAAACAAGGAAAAAGGGAAACAGTGCATAGCCCATGGTAGCTATGTCGTAAGAGTTTTCTTTGTATAAAAATAAACTTGCAGGATCTGGGGACATGGCACAGTTAGTAAAGTGCTTTTTTGTACATAAGAACCCACATTTAAAAATTAAAAATAAGCTGGGCACTGGTGGCACGTGCCTTTCCAGCACTTAGGAGGCAGAGGCAGGCAGATCTCTTGAGGCCAGTATGGCCTATACAACGAGTTCCAGGACAGCCAGGGCTACAGAAAGGAACTCTTGTCCTGAAGAAAACAAAAAAGCAAAGCAAGCAAACAAATGAAGTAAGGGGGCCAGTGAGAGGACTCAGCACATAAAAGTGCCTGTTGCCAACCCTGAGGATCTGAGTTCATCAGTCCCCAGGACTCATACCATAGAGGAGAAAACTGACTCCTGGTTGTTCTCTGACCTCCCTCTCATGCTATGGCATATGTGCACAAACACACACACACATAATCATTTTTTTAAAAGTGCTGTGCCTGGTGGTACATGCTTGCAATCCCAACACCTGAAAGAGAGAGACAGGTAGATAGATCCTTTGGGTTTGTTGGGTGGCCAGCCTTGCCCTTTCAGCAAGTTCCAGGTTCAGCGTCAGACCTTATCAGAAAAACAAGGTAGAGAGCAACTGAAGAAGATACTAGCTGTTGTCTGGCTACAACACACATCCATACACAAGAATACACATGCACATGCATACACTCAAAAATACAGTGTGCAGGAACTCATTAAGGTTAGCAATACAGACACCTTCACAGGCCCACCTCTGTGCATGCGGTATTCTTGTACATCAGCACCTACCTATTCATGCATACAGATAACCTCCTTGGCCAGGTGTAGTGGTGCATACCTTTAATCCCACCCTTGCAATGTAAAGGCAGGAGGATCTCTATGAGTTTGAGGCTATCCTGGTCTACATAATGAGTTTTAGGACTACACAGTGAGACCCTATCTCAAACAAAATAAAGAACAGATAACTTCATTGCTCCACATTCGGACCTACAGTCAGCCCTTTGTAGTGGCAGTTTGTTCCAAGACCTTTATAAATGCCAACGTCTCCAGGTGTCTCTCTCTCTCATTAGATGATAGAGAATTTCATGTAACCTCTTTACATCCTCCCAAAGGCTTTAAAGCAGCTTTAGACAGTATTAGAGCCTAGTAATCAGGGGGGAGTCTCTGTGTGTTTAGTACACATAGTTTTGAGTGCGTGTGGCATGTATATGTATTGATATGTGCAGGTGTGTGTGCATCCATGTGCACATGTATGTCAAGGCCAGAGGTTGACTCTGGGGGTCTTCATCAATCACTCATCATATTTTCTTTTTTTTTCCAGTTATTTATTATTTTTGTATGTGTTGGTGTTTTGCCTCAATGTCTGTCTGTGCACCATGTGCATGCAGGGCCCTTGGAAACCAGAAGAGGGCGTCACATTCCCTGGAAATGGAGTTACTGGTGTTTGGGGCTGCCATGTGGGTTCTGGGGATTGAATCAGATACTCTAGAACAGCCAATGCTATTAACTCTTGAACTGTCCCTTCAGCCCCTGCATCTTATTTTTTGGTGCAGGGTCTCTCACTGAATCTGTAGCCCACCAACTGGCTGGCCCAATGGTGAGCTCCAGGAATCTGCCTGTCCCTGTTTCCTTAGCACTACCAATATAGATGTGTGTGCTAGAAATCCAAACTCAGATTTTCATGTTTATACAGCAAGCATTTTACCTATTGAGCCATCGCTCCAACATGCAATTTTTGTAAGATATATTCTTTCTTTTTCTTTTCCTCCTTTCCCTCTTCCTTTATCTCCTTCAGCAGGGTCTCATGAAGTCTAGACTCGATTCTTTATGTAGCTGAGACTAGCCTTGAACCTGTTTTCTTCCCACACCCATCTCCCAAGTGCTGGGATTATCTGTGTGCCCATTGACTGATATATTTAGTCAGTGCTTGGCTGAATCCATGGGTGCAGAGTCCGGGGATACATCATTGTGTTATGTGCACTCAGTTCCTGTACTAGAACTTGATTGAGGTCCTGTTCCTCCCTGTGCCTCCCCTGTTAACAGGATCTATAACACTATAATGTAGCCTGCTACAGAAGATGAAGGGTAGTGATAGAACACACAGCATATAGTATAGTTTGAAGAATGGGTTCTTGTTTCATTGAAGCAAAAGGAGGAAAAGGCCAGTAAGATGGCTCCAAGGGTAGAGATACTTGCCGTCGAGTCTGATAACCAGAGTTGATCCTCTGGATCCACATGGTAGAAGGCGAAAACTGACTCCTAGAAGTTGTCTTATAAATTCACACATTCAAGAACATGCAGATACACACACACACACAAATATGATTTTAAAAATTTTAAGACAAAGTTTAGCAGACTAATAAATAACACACCATTCTGACATCATTGTCTCTGTGTTCTGTCACAGCCCCACATCTTTTGTTCTGGCTTTCAAAATTTCCTAAAACTTGCCTGGGAGTTTCCCGTAAGTTAAGGATAGCCCAAGCAAGACTCTCAAGATTGCTACACAGCCGGCTCTCCATCACCTGGGTCCACTTATCCTTAGGCCACTTCCTCTTCCTGTCTGCCTGCTTCCTTATCATCTCTGGCTCTCTTGCTTCCACCTTTCTGTATTGATGCTTAGATTGGTATCTTCAGACAGCAGAGGAGTAAGGACACGTGCACATCCTTCATGCAACGCATGTAGGGAGGGGACAAAAATGGGATTTGGAGGACAAGTAGAGAAAAATGGAGTTGGGACAGTCAGAGAGAGGTGTGCTGGCAAACAATAGAGACTGGAATCTCACCTGTGGCACCACCAGCCATGTGCCCTGCCATCTGTACCCTCATCTTTGAGATGTGAGTGAAAATAATGAAACGATACAGGCAGCACAGTTACCTAACACCCAGCACACAGTGGTTACTCAAAGAAAACGACTATCTCTGCTTTTGCTCCTTAGTTTCAAGGCAGGGGAGCATGTGTATGCAGCTATGAAAGCCAAAGGTTGACACTGGTGACCTCACCAGTGGCTTTCCATCTTTTTTTATGTATAGTCTTTATTTATTCCTTGAGAATCCATGTGTGTGTACAGTGTGTTTTGATCATATCTATCTTCTACTCTTTCTCCCACAATTCCTCCACCCATATTCTCCCTGTCATGTCTCCCAACTCCCAGTCTAGTTTCATGTACTTTTTTTTTAAATAGGGTCTCACTATATGTATCTCTCCTTAGCTGGCCTGAAATATACTCTATAGACTAGGCTGACCTGGATCTCTGTATTTGCCTCCTGAATGCTGGGTTTAAAATTGTGCCACCAAACCTAGATCATATTTTGGGTTTTGTTTGTTTTCCTTTAACTTATCAAGTCCAACTAATGCTTGGGGGAAGCGGAGACACAACCAGAGCCACATCCCTGAAGAAAACTGCCCCGCCCTCCATCCCCCCTAGAAACCATTAACTAGCAGTAGCTCCTCAGCTAGGAGTGGTGTTCCCTGAGCCCCTCCCTCACTGTTCTCTACCTTACATTTTGAGACAGGCTCTCTCACTGAACTTGTAGATTCAATTAACCTGGCTGGCTACTGAGGCCCCCAGAGTTCCACCTGTGTTGGGATCACAGATGGCCATGTGCCCTGGGCCTGGTGTTTTTGTTTGTTTTTAAATGGGTAATTGAACTCAGGTCCTCATGCTTGCATGGCAAGCCCTTTACCAATTAAGCCATCACCGATATTCTGTCCTTCACTGTTCTGGGCTCCTCTTAAGACTCTGTCTCTCTTGTTTCTTGGAGGTCAGGTTGCCAAACTTTTCCAGGACTCGAGTCTGGGAAACATCGTCAACATCCTTGTCACTCGCCTTATCCTGCTCACAGAGGACCAGGTATGCAACTGGGGTGTTTCTCACCCTTTCTCTATCTGCACCATTGATGCCTGGTATCTCCAGAGTGGCAGGGCACCCATGCACCTCAATCTTCCCATCCACAGCCCACCCTGGAGATCACCCATCATGCCGGGAAGTCACTGGACAGCTTCTGTAAGTGGCAGAAATCCATCGTGAGCCACAGTGGCCATGGCAATGCCATTCCAGAGAATGGTGTGGCAAACCATGACACAGCTGTGCTCATCACACGGTAAGGAGCAGGGAGGACTCCAGGGCTGAGGCCAGTGGAGCAAGTAGAGAAGGGAACATCAGAGTCCACGACAGGGGAACAATTGATAGTGGAGGATGGGGGCAGGAACATTAAGGAGCCAAGGAGAAAGAATGCCAAGGACCTGAAAATGGGAGGTGACATTTGAACCCTCACCACGCAGTCATTTATTCCATTCAATCACTTAGTCGTGTACTGTCAGCATCCTGAAAACTGGCTGATTGATTCTAATGGAGGCACAGCATAAGACTTAGGCAAGACTCAACCCTCAGAGCCAGTAAAGGCATTTTCAGCTGAGTCCTGAGGGAAGTGGGAAGGTCAAGAAGTCAAGTTCGTCCAGGGCTACAAAAGACCTTGTCGCACGCACACACAAACATGCACTCTCCTACCTGTTCTTGTCTTCTATGATAAAACTGAGACCTAAGGAGGCCACCCAGCCCTCTCACTGCCATGACATCTGTTTCCACAGCTATGACATCTGCATCTACAAGAACAAGCCCTGTGGTACTCTAGGTACTGAGTCCCATTGGTGGCAGGCACCATGGAGGGTGGCTGTGATCCTGGGGTGAGACCTGCCGTGATGGGTAGAACCTAGCCCGCACAGCCTCGGGTCCCTTGACCCACCCCACATTCCCATTTCCCAGGCCTGGCCCCTGTGGGTGGAATGTGTGAGCGTGAGAGGAGCTGCAGTATCAATGAAGATATTGGCCTGGCCACAGCTTTCACCATCGCCCATGAGATCGGGCACACGTGAGGCCAGGGGACACAGGATAGGGGAGGATGAGAGGATCTGGGTTGGGGTCCCTTAGTTCCTAGCAGAGCTGATAACCCCTCTCCTCAGATTCGGCATGAATCACGATGGTGTGGGGAACGGCTGCGGGGCCCGTGGTCAGGACCCAGCAAAGCTCATGGCTGCCCACATTACCATGAAGACTAATCCATTTGTGTGGTCATCATGCAGTCGAGACTACATCACCAGTTTTCTGGAGTGAGCATGGGTCACATCACCCACTAAGTGGGGCACAGACATGTTGGGAGAGCTGACTTCACCACCACACCTAGCTGATATAACCCTGAGGTCATAGCCTTTCGGCCCCTTGGCATGACAGCTGTTTTCTTCTAATCATAGCTCCGGCCTGGGGCTTTGCTTGAATAACCGGCCTCCCAGACAGGACTTCGTGTACCCAACGGTGGCTCCTGGCCAGGCCTATGATGCTGATGAGCAGTGCCGATTCCAGCATGGAGTCAAATCGCGTCAGTGTAAATACGGGGTAGAGAGAGCCTTCCTGCTTTCCTTCCTGGGAAGGGGAGGTGGCCACAGGGTGGGAAGTTTCACTGGACACCCTTTTGGGGAAGCAGAGGGACAGGACGGCAAGAAAAGAGGTGACATGAACCCCATACTCCCTGTAGGGATGTGGGAGGACCAGAGTGTGGGAAGTATCCGCATGGCAAGCAAACCAGCAAACACTGAGAATTAGAATGTAGTTCTGAGCTTGGGGAAGAGACTCGGTCAGGAAAAGGTTTGTTTTGTAAGCCTAAGTTATGATCAACAAAACCATATATAAGCTTGGCATGGTTGTGCATGTTTTAAACCAGGCATTGGGGAAGCAGTGGTGGGTAGATTCCTGGGACTTGCTGGCTGGCCAGCCCACTTGGTAAATTTCAGATTTGGTGAGAAATCTTGTTTCAAAAAACAAGGATAGCTACCTAGGAACAACAGCCAAGGTTGGCCTCTGGCTTCAACATGCACGTGTGCCATTCATGTTTGAGTGCCTGTGCACATGAGTGTGTACACACATACACACACTGTGAGATGGGTTACATGTCTGGAGAGCTAATTTGAGGGCAAGATTAGAGTGCCCCCTAAAGGCCACTTGTGGGCTGCAGCAACACATAGGTTCTAAGACTTCTAGTTAGTTATGAGCAACATATGCAGATTCTTGGTGAAATAGTTTCTGTAGAAGTGAGGCTACTACTTTACTTGCCAATGAACTGAGAGAGCCTTCCAGGGACTCTGACTAGCTCCCTTATCTTCCCTGAGGTTCAGACTCAGAGTTTCATCTTGGCATCAGTAAGTGAGCTAGGGCAGGGAGGTGTGTGTTGGAGGGTTGGGGAGGAGGCTCACACCTTTAATCCCAGCACTCAGGAGGCAGAACCAAGTGGACCTATGTGAGTTTGAAGTTGGCCTGCTTATCTGACTTCATAACATAACAAATTCCAGGCCTGCCAGTGTTACCTGCAATGAGGCCCCATCTCAAAAAATACGAGCTGAGTAACTGGAAAGATATCTCGGTGTGTAAGAGAGCTTCCTACATAAATACAAGTATCTAAATTCAAATTTTGAGCACCCACATAAATTCCTAGTACCCCTAGTACTGTAGTGGGGTAGACACAGGCTTCTGGGACTTCCTAGCACTTTGTTCAGTGAGGGACTGTATCTCAAGGGAATAAGGCAGAAAGAGATAGAGAAAAAAAAAAAAAGAAGTGAGTTGGAATGCAGAGGACCTCACTCTCGGAAGCTAGAGATCTGCTGGCTCCCTGTGTTGGTGACAGTTCAGCCAGTTAGTACCTCTGCCCAGCTCTATCATTTCCTTAATCACATTCTGACCCACTTCAGCCTCAGTCCTAGTGAGCCCAGTCCACTCTCCACAGGAAGCCTCTGCGCTTACATAACTATTCCCAAGATTGGGGCAAAAGAGACCAGGTGATTATCAAACGCTCCTCATTTCCTCTCACTGTAGCACCAAGAAATACATCCTGAAGCAAGCAGAATTTTGACATATTTACTTTATTTCTTTTTTAAGACAAGGTCTCACTTATGTAGTCCTAGCTGGCCTGGAATTTGCTATGTAGACCAGGCTGGCCTCACACTCTCAAAGATCCACTTGCTGCTGGGATCATCGGTCTGTGCCACTGCATTGCAGACATTTTTACTCTTGCTCCACCCCAACCTTAATTTTGCTGGTCACCCCAGCACCTTCTAAGGAATTCTGGGTCCACCTGTGAATGTCTTCTGTGTCTTGGAACTTAATAAGGATGATAGTAGCTTATGCTTACTGAGAATTTCATGTGTGCCAAGCACATTGTATACATGATCTTATTTAAACTTCCAATAATGCGGGAAACTCGACTGCATAATTTGTGGTAGTAGGGGACTGCGTTCGCGCTCTCCCCTGAAAAAAAAAAGAAAGAAAAAAAATAAACTTCCAATAAACATTACCCCAAGCAACAGGGGCTTCAGGAGGGGTGTGTGTGTGTGTGTGTGTGTACGTGCGCTACAATTGTAAAAACACAAGCTGCTGTACTTTGAACATAGGTTTCTCCTTTAAGTCAGCATTTTGCTTCAGTGCTGAAATTTTCCTTTATGTGTTATATGGAAGGCATACATACATGTGGAAGCCAAAGAATGGCTTTTGGGAGTCTGATCTCCTTCCAAGAATCAGACTCAAGTCATCAGGGTGGTTTTACCTACTGAGCCACCTTGCCAGCATAGCTATCTGCTTGTCTCTACCTCTCAATCTCTTTTAAATGTATTTGTATTGTTTATGTGTTTGTGTACCTTGTGTTTATATACAAGTGACTGTGGAGGCCAGATGAGGAGCATCAGATCTCCCTGAGCTGGAGTTGCTGTGTTTGTGAGCTGGAATCCAATCCCTGGTCCTCAAAATAAACAGCATGTGCTGTTAACCGCTGACCCATCTCTACACCAACACCCCACACCTAGACCACTCTTTAACTTCATATTTTACAAAAGAATATTGTAGAGAGGAACTATTAGAATCTCAAGCTTGATCCGAGATTAGCAATATGTTAAACTGAACCATTTATTTATTTGTGTCATTACTTTTTGAAACAAGGTTTCTCATTGGTCAGGAACCGCCCTGTCTCTACCTCTTCAATGTGAGAATATACAAACCAGTGCCACCACATCTGGCTTTGTTTGTTTGTTTAATGGCACTTATATTTTTACGCATCTGAGTGTTTTTCATGTGTGTATGTGCCTGGTCCCTGCCTTGTCAGAAGACAAGGTTAGATCCCTTGACTCTGGAGTTATGGAGATACAGTGTGGATGCTGAGACCCAAGCCCAGGTCCTCTACAAGTGTACCAAGTGCTAACTGCTATGCCATCTCCCTCGTCTGGCTTTTTCACTTGGATGCTAGGGAATGAATTCAGGTCCTTCTGCTTATGTGGCGAATACTTTACTGACTAAACTATCTCCCCAAACTCTGAACCTTTTATTTTTGAACAAAACATCTTCCTGGCATAGTAAAACTCATTTACCACATGGGAATTGGTTGATAGGAGCTGGGCTGAGTTGGTATTGTGCTTACCTAGCATGTACGAAGCCTGGGTTCTATCTAAGCACTTTACAGGTGAAAGGTCAGAAATTCAAGGTCATCCTTGGCTACACAGTCTGATGGAGGCTAGCCTGGGATACAGAAGATCCTTGCTAAAGAATAAGAATAATTGATTAATAATTGTGGAGCTTAATTCCTGGTCTAGCATTATCTGTGTCCATTGTTATCCAATCAGAGAACATTTATGTAAGCTGTCTCATTGACACTGTCAGAAAACAGGTGTTGAACTGGCCATCTTATAAATGGAAAAACAGGCCTAGATAAGAACTGTGATTCAGTACAAAGTTGAAATCTGGAGTAGCCTAGGGATTATTACATATTCAACAGTGTCTCCTTGTGAAGCAGAGGTCAAAAGCAGGGCTGGCATAAGTGCATCTTAAGGAGTGTCAGAGTGGGGTTGGAGCTCAAGTGGTTTCATGTTTTTGTAAGTGGCCATGAAAATACAAGTCAGAAAAAAAAAAAAATAGAAAGCCGGGCGGTGGTGGCGCACGCCTTTAATCCCAGCACTTGGGAGGCAGAGGCAGGCAGATTTCTGAGTTCGAGGCCAGCCTGGTCTACAGAGTGAATTCCAGGACAGCCAGAACTACACAGAGAAACCCTGTCTCAAAAAACCAAAAAAAAAAAAAAAAAGAAAAAAAGAAAAGAAAAGAAAATACGAGTCAGGTGAAGACATAAAGCCTGGCATGTCCCTGTGAGAGGCAGAAATCATACTCTCTACAGAGAGCTGTTGTTTAAGGAGTGTTTTTGAAACGTGTGTGCAGATATCTCTTGAGCTGACTCTAGAAGGGTACCTTCTTATAACCATTGCTTAGTTCAAATCCAGATCTTCAAATCCAGGCCTCTCATCAGCCTGGAACTCAGGGCTTGGCTTGGAAGGGTTTTGTTCAGAGAGGGTTACAGATGAATTCTTGGATGGAGCAGTTCTGAGAGGGCAGGGTAGGAGGTAGGCTGGAGTGAAGTTCTGCTGTGTCTAAACCTGATGAGGCTTCTCTCCAGGGATACTAACCTTGACCTAAACAATCAAAACAGCTTTCTGGGACTGCTTCAGTTCTGTGTAACAAATAAATGACCTGAGCAGGCCCAAGCAGGATACAGTGGAAGTAGAGGACCGGCCCCACAAATTCCGTCAGAACCTACCTAGTCTTGAACCTGCCATGCATTCTCACAGCTGAGAAAAACTACAAAGGAAAATCTTGTCCTGCGCCAGCCCTGACTTTTCAGATTGTTCTCTCCTGTGTTGTTTCACTGGCCCCCTAAAAAGTAAAAATCTTTGCTGTCTTTCATAGTAGGACCCCCCAGATTTGGGAAGAACTTGAAGTCAGTAAAATTCAATGCCCATTTCAAAGATCTGGGTTAGACTAGGCTGTAAGTGATATGACACCTAACTAGTAACTATGGGTTGGTTTTTTTTTTTTCTGTAAAATTACATTTACTTATTTTGGGCATGTTTATTCCACAACATGTGTGTGGAGGTCAAAGAACAATTCCAGGAGTCCTTCCCTCTTTCCCCATGTGGATCCTAGGGATTGAACTCAGTTCTTCAGGCTTGGCAGCAAGTGTCTTTACCTGATGAGCCATCTTTATGTCTTGGGAGGATGTTATCTTTCCACATGGTTTTCTTGCACCAAAATAAATGTCACAATGCTCAAAGGAGTTTTTATAACAAGTATAAATGTTCCATGCATACTGACAAAAGAGAAGTATCAGGCCATGATCCCAAAGGGGGGATCGTTAGGACCCAGGAAAGTGCTGGGTCCCCTAAAGCATGCCCGTGGGATGACATGAGCCTGAGAGGTCTCTTCCATTCTGCAGGAGGTCTGCAGTGAACTATGGTGTCTGAGCAAGAGCAACCGGTGCATCACTAACAGCATCCCAGCCGCTGAGGGAACACTGTGCCAAACACACACTATCGACAAAGGGGTGAGCATCAGCCAGGAACTTTGCCCTGTGCCCTGCCTTCTCTGCCTGAGCCACAGCCTTGGCATCTCAAGCCACACCCGTTTGTTTAAAAGGCTGTGGTACTGTTTCTGTTTAAGCCATGCCTGTTGCTTGAACAGTGTTAACTCCTTAGCCATGTGTCTGGATTCAAGCTGTGATGCAGTCTGTCAGACTCCCTGCCTCAGATCCAGCCATTTCTCATGTTACACACCCCCATTCCAGAGTGAACCGCACCTGTAATTTGGGGGATGGTGGACAGAAAAGAAGCATTGAACTCAGAGCTCTGTAAAGTCACACTCATCCCTTTCCTTCCCTTTCCTTTTTCCTCTCATCCTTCCCCCAGTGGTGCTACAAACGAGTATGTGTCCCCTTTGGGTCTCGGCCAGAGGGTGTAGATGGGGCCTGGGGCCCGTGGACTCCATGGGGTGACTGCAGCAGGTCATGTGGTGGTGGTGTATCATCTTCCAGCCGTCACTGCGACAGCCCCAGGTCAGCCCTTGAGACCCTCTCCCAACAGTGAGGCAACCTTCAACCCTATCACCCACTGCCTCATCTCTCTCCATTGACCCCTGCTCCTTCCAGGCCAACCATTGGGGGGAAGTACTGTCTGGGTGAGAGACGGAGGCACCGGTCCTGCAACACCAATGTGAGTTTTCCAAGGAACCCTTCTCCAAACTCTCCATGGTCCTGCCCCAGCCACCCACCTTTGCCCTAACACCCTCCCTCCACCCCAGCACCTCCCGTATCATCTAGTCTTCAAACTGTTTCACCACAGAAGTAAGCTCCCTTAAAATAATTATCACTCCTCCCCCCCCAAATACAGTTTAATGTCTTCACTCTTCACAGCTCATTTACCCTCAGAATCCAGCCCCTACTCATTGCTACCCACCAAAGCCTGATTAATCTTGTTCTCACCAGCATCACACCCAGGGTCTCTCTACCATCCTTTTAAAGTCCATTTTGAGTGTATTGCCCTCTGGAGCTTCCTACTGCTTCCTCCTTAGATGTTGGTGTTCCCTTTGGCTGAGGATGGCTCCATTACCTAATCATGAACATATTTAGGTGTTCAGGCCAACAGCCAGAGGAAGGGATGCTCGGAAGTCAGGAAAAGCTGCTCTGAGAATGAGCAGTGGGCTTTGAGGGCCCCTGTGTAGGGATTATCAGAGCGTTTCTATGCCCCTCACATTAAAAAAGAACTCCGTCTTTTCCCCCAAACTGGCTCTATCTTATACCTTCTGTCTTATGAAAATTTGAACTCAGGACCCAGGCATCTACCTCCAGCTCAGCCTTAACTTAATGTCACCCAGGTCACATATCATAAGCCAGGTATGGTAGTACACACTTAAGATGCTGGCACTTGGCTGTGGCAGGAGGATTACAAGTTTGAGGTCACCTTGGCCTGTAAGAGCCTGTCTCAAAACTGAATACACAGGGGCTGGGAAGATGGTTTTAAATGCTTCCGTGCCAGCACCAAACCGCACACACACATGGACCTTAGCTAGAGTGGACACCATCCACTCACCTCCAGCCTCACTCACTTGACTCTTGCCACTCAAAACAACAGTCCTCTTCCCTAAGTTCTTCGTACCTGCTCCAGGACTGTCCACCTGGCTCCCAGGACTTCAGAGAAATGCAGTGTTCTGAATTTGATAGTGTTCCTTTCCGTGGAAAATTCTACACGTGGAAGACATACCGAGGAGGTGAGTGAGTCATTGAGTACAACAGCAGTCCACTTATCTGTCACTCAGGGAGCCCTTATCCTCTGCCCGAGGAAACACTTGTCCTTGATACAACTCAATGCACTTCATATGCAGGGAAACTTCCCTGTTCACTCTGTCCGTGGAGTCTGGGGTCTGTTGCCTTTGTCCCCTCAGGCAGGGAGTTCCAGGGTGACCTGGCTCCAAGTCTGATGGGGCCATGCCCCTCAGGGGGTGTGAAGGCCTGTTCGCTGACTTGCCTAGCAGAAGGCTTCAACTTCTACACTGAGAGAGCTGCAGCTGTGGTGGACGGAACACCCTGCCGCCCTGACACAGTGGACATTTGTGTCAGTGGCGAGTGCAAGGTAGAGGAGACTCCCAGGTGGAAGGAAAAGAGGTTGGGGAGAAGATTAGGGGAAGCAGGCATCTCCATGACAACATCAACACAACCACTGTCTTCCTATGCAGCATGTGGGCTGTGACAGGGTCCTGGGTTCTGATCTCCGAGAGGACAAATGCCGAGTGTGTGGGGGTGACGGCAGTGCCTGTGAGACCATTGAGGGGGTCTTCAGCCCAGCTTTGCCAGGAACTGGTAAGAATCCTTCCCTCTGCATCCCTCTTGTGACTGGGATCAGGGTTAGTCTCTTTATAGTAGCCAAAACCAGTAACTCCTTGGATGTGGGCAGCCTGTAGAATATGAATTATAGTAAAGGGCCTTAGGAGCCACCAAAAGTCCTGAGAGGACAGACTTGCTCCTAGTTTTCTTGTTAAGACAAAATACCTTACCAGAAGAGAGCATGTGCGTGCGTGCGTGCGTGCGTGCGTGCGTGCGTGCGTGCGTGTATCTATCTTGCAGTTTGAGGAGACATTATGGTGATTAGCTTTTTCCCTTTTTTGTGCATTCTGGTCCTCTACCCCATTTAGGGTGGATCTTCCTTCTTCAGTTAACCTAATTTTAAAAATCACACATAAACATGCCCAGAGACTTGTCTCCAAGGTGATTCTAGATCCTGTGGAGTTGACAATCAGTGTTAGCCAATCACAGTCATAATTAGGGAGGCCTTAGCTACTGACTTGAGATCTAGCATATAGAAAGTCATATGAGTTGGAACTGTGGATCTCTCCTCCATCATTCTCAGGGCTTCAGGATGGTTGGAAAGAGGTCATTTTCTATCCTCTGAGCCTAAGGGTCTGGGGAACTCTCTGTCCTGATAGTAGAGGTCTTACTATCAGGGAACTAAGAAGACATTCAGAATACCCTTTCAGCTTGGGTTGAGAAAGAGGACACCCAGGGAGTAGGGGATGAAGTAGGAAGGACGAAGCTGAAAGCATTGTTGGAGGGATTGTGGCCAAATCATATATGATTGGCAGAAACCACAAAGAATGAGTTGCAGAATGTGTTATTCTCCAGGCAGGGTTAGATTAGAGATGGGTTGCTTGGTTGCTTGGTTGGTTTAAGACAAGAACATCTGCCCTGGGCAATGGTGGGCACACAGCTTTAATCTCAGCATTTGGGATGCAGAGGCAGAAAGAACACTGAGTTAGAGGTCAGCCTGGTCTAGACAGTGAGTTCCAGGACAGCCAGGGCTACACAGAGAAACTGTGTATCAAAGAAAAAAAAGGAAAAAGTAAAAGAAAAAAAGACTAAAACATCTAGCCTGAGAAAATGTTCAGTCAGTAAAGGGTTTGTTGTGCAAACATGAAGATCTGATTTTTAATCTGCAGAGTCTACATTTAAAAAAAAAAAAATCGCCGGGCGTTGGTGGCGCACGCCTTTAATCCCAGCACTTGGGAGGCAGAGGCAGGCGGATTTCTGAGTTCAAGGCCAGCCTGGTCTACAGAGTGAGTTCCAGGACAGACAGGGCTATACAGAGAAACCTTGTCTCGAAAAACCAAAAAAAAAAAA